TTCAGCCAGGTTGTGAACGCTAATTAGGCTACTAGTAAAAATGTGAAAATTAAATGCAACATTTCTGCTTCCTCAGCCAACAGAAGGTGATTACAGATGTTGGAGTTTATGCATTTAAAAAAAAATAAATAAAAAATTGATTTGATAAGGGAGTCAAAAGGGCTGAATTCAAGATCGGTAAAAATGCTGTCCAACCCAAACAGTTAATCAATAAATTGCATAGTTCAAGGATATAAAATTGGGTAGCAATGCTTTTGACACTCAGTTAATTAAGTCATTTATCAAGCGGAATACTAAGCATTTGCTTGTTCTTCCAATGAAATCTGAACAAGTCACCTTGGGCTTTGGGAGATGGTGATGGTTTTTTTTTTTAATCATTGTATTATTTCAAAAACAGATTTAGATCATTGTACTAATTTAAAGATAATAATTTGATTATTTGATGGAAAATTGGATAATGACGCCTCCACCAAAGTATATCTCCTGTCTTTCCATTAGCGGAGCTCTCTGTGGAAATAAACCGAGGGTCAGGTTTGGAGTTGCCAGTTAGGATTAGCGTTTTTATATTCAGCTGCCACGCTCCTTTACTCGACGTGCCGCCACTGTTGACAGGGCTGGAAGTTTGTTTGAGGCTTTTAAGATCTAATGTGTCCGCCTGCTATCTAAGATTGTTTCTCTGACTCGCTCTCGACCCTCGCTGCCTCTCCGCCTGCCCATCCTCTCCTCCTATATGTTATCCAGTGTTGAGTGGAGGTAAGGAGAGATAGTAATCTGCTGTAGCCTTGGCACTCTCTCGCACTCTGGTCTCATTGAAGAAGATTGATGGCCCTCTTTCTGGAATGGCTGTTGTTTTGGATGGAGAGAGAAAAAAGGTGGAGGCAGAGGAGTTGGGTTTAAAATGAAAAACCGAGCGAGGGAGGGCAGGCGGCGGTGGTGACGGTTGTGGGGGGGGATAGAGAAATGGAGGTAGGTTGAGTGATAGTTGTAAAAGATGGAGAAATGGAAGAGGAAATGTCACCGTGGTGGAGCTGGAGAGCTCATTAAATTTGGTTTGTATTTTACTGAGTGCGAATATGCATCCACCTGTGATTGGTTTCAGATTCACACATCACTCTTTTTTTTTTTTTTTTTCTTCTCCCCAACGCACACGTGGGTTATGGAATTGGCTGCACTTGGTTTGCATGTCAGCAGGATTATATTTAAATGTCAGCTTTTCTCTCAGGATGCAAATGAGACAGGAGCGTGTTGTGATGGAACGATTTTGTACATGTGTCTCATGTTTGCGTTGCATTAGGATGCTGTAGCCTTTAGGTCTTGAAGGTATCGGGTATTCAGCATTAACAGTCGGCGCTGCACTGCTAGGGGGAATTAGCAACCCTTCATCCTTTTCATGATGGGTCTATTGCTCGGTGCCCGTGTGGGTGGCACTGGGTTGATTGGCTGTGATGACAGTTCTGCTCTTAATTGTGTCAGTTATTCTCCCTCTGTGGCTCTTTTTGAACCTAGTCAAGCGCTTGATGTAACCCCCTGGCGTTTTGTTCCTTTCTACATATTGGTCTTTTTAAGTCTTTGCAGGTTTTAGGAGCAGTGAGACAGAGAGGAGCAAATCTTTCTTCTTCCTCCTTAATTCTGCCCTCCTTTGAGAGCAGAATTGAATCTGACATTTTCTTTGTTTTCTTTTTTAGGATACCCCCCATCTCTTCGTGTCCCTCTCTGCCCTCTGCTTAATTTGTCTTCCATCCCTTTAGTGTATCCTTTGTTTGTCTCCTCTGTTTCTCGGCTATTGTTTGAGATGCTGTTCTCTCTTTGTCTTTCCCGCTCTATTTCATCAGCCTGTTGTACATCGACCCATGTTTCATCCTGCCTCTCCCTCCTCTGTGTTTTCCCCACGCTTCATTTTTCTGCTTTCTATCTTCCCCTCTCTTGTAGTCTCCGTCTGGCATCTCCATCCTCCTTTTCTGTTTCTGTGTGACGGACCGTGCTGTCTCACGGCGCCCAGACATCGCTGGGGTCAACTATTCGGGCCTTGGTGGTGTGACTGCTCAGATTGTCTATTGTTTTCGCCTCCTGTCTTAACTGACCACTTGAGACTGCTGGAGTCACAGCGGGGCGACGGGACCGAGAAGACAAGAAGAACATAAAGGCCGCATCCCATTGTGCTTATTTAAATCGTTGAGAGGGTTGTTACAAGCTCCGGGTCGCATCTTTTCTTGTGGTCAAAACCCCTCAGACTGGTGTGAATATCAGCGACAGAGAGCAGAGACAGTCATCGTTTTCAGTTCTGAGAGAAGTGGTAGAGTATAACCTACAACAGTTGATTTCTGGGCTCCTTGGGGCCAGTGGGAACAAGCTGTAAACACAAAGAATGTCACAGTTATTACGTAATCGTCTGATTACAATTGTTAGAGCTGGCCCTGTCATTTTGCATAATAGTTGCAATCACAGCTGGATGAAACTAACAGAAATGTCATATTTCAATCACTGTTTTCACATCTTTTCCGTCCATTTGCAGCGCTGTGGTTTATCGGCACCAACTGACTGCATTCCTGTAAGCACCTACTGACATCAATGTCATGGATTAAGTTACAAAGCAAAACACCACAGGGCCACCATGGTGTTTGGCTCCACAACCAAACAAAAGCTAATCAGCACAATGAATTAATAATCCCAACTATTTGTTTGACAATTGTCATGTAAAGTTTCATAATTTTGACAGTCCAAGTAAACACAATGCTAATGTATAACAACACAGCATAATTGCCAGCTAGTAATGCCAGAGCTGTAACAGGCTCGCTGTGCCAACGATGTAGTTATCTGCAAGTTAACCAGTTTTCTCTTTGGCTGGAGTAAAATAAGCTGAATATCAGGCCTCAGTGATAAAATTATATCAATATGTATCGCTGGTAGACTTTCCCGCAGGTCCTGCCCCCATTCTTCTCCCCCACTTTCCTGTCTCTCTCTCAACTACACTCTCAAATAAAGGCAAAAAGGCCAAAAAAAAATCACTAAGAAAAAAAGAGAGAATACATTTGCATGTACATAGTAATTCCACAAAGATTTCCTTTTCAACAGATGAAACTGTTAAATTTAAATGTAACACTATAAATACATTTCTATCATTAAATACAATTATTGACCACACAGAAAAGAAATATTGATTCTGTAATCTGACATAGATGTGTTTGTTAAATGAGAGATGTCTTGTATAAAAACAGAAGTTTTCGCAATGCAACTGTTGAATGAATGTATTTTTACACATACACATGTATAAAAACTGTGATATTACACAGTGTTTAGTATAATGTAGGTAGATAGATAGGCTGTCATCATTATTATATAATTGCCAGCTTTCATTGCAGAGCAGTCATTGAGCTGCTGCCATATATGACTCCTAAATACCCAAATGAAATTCTGAACAGTGGCCAGGCAGGATGGTGAGTCTCAGTTGAAAATGTTTCGCCGAAGTCGGTTGATATTAAACAGCTTTCTGAAATGGGACCTATTGATCCTCGTTGCATCTGTTTTGTTGTCAAGTTTGAAGCGCACATCTGCTTTATACAGTCACCGAGAGTGATCGCGTATTCATTTCAGGTGAGCTATTGATCAAACGGCGCTGGTCCCATACACACATCACAGAGCCGGGTTACCTTTTTGACATTTCTTGCAGGGCTCAACCTTTGTATTTTGCATCTGATTGACATTTCCTTGGTATATATGTGTAAACATACGGATCTTAAGATATTTCATTCATTCATGCAGATCATCTTTTCTCTCTCTGAGGTAAAAGCCCACAGGCAGTTGGGATACTTGTCACGAATACAAAGAGGATGAGTGTAAAAAGTAGCCTATTCTCTGTTTAGCAATTCTGTGACAAATATAAGTCAGTGTTTTATTCAGCGTCACAATTTATTTCCCTTCTGAGGCAACGTGTGGCTCCCATTTCTGCTGCCATGGTCCTAGTCGCGAGTCATTCACGCCTGTTTTAAAATGCACTTTATGACGTGCATGTAAAAAAAAAAGGAAAAATTGACCTAAATCAAACAGCTTTTTTTGAGTTTAAATGTCTTAAATGTCAGGCATCTTTATGGCTTGGCTGTATTATGAGGCCAAAGAGCGTCAGTGTGCCTGTTTAGCCGAAGACGCTTCGTTACAATCTGCAGACCTTTCTGGAAGGATGGTTTGGACAAACACTGCCAGCCTGCTCTGTGAAATCCTGTTCATCTGAGGTTGGCAGGCATGTGAAGTATGAGTAAGCGTCCCCGGTCATGTTTATTTAGGTAGAGGTGGTATTTGAAAGAGAATTAGACTTGGAGGATTTTAATGAGACTGCCAGAGCATACCTCCATGCTGGAGTTGAGTGCCATCGTGGGTCTGTTCTGTCAGATGGTTGCACTGTTATTGAGGTCTCTGCGGGCCCTTTCTGCATCACATTAACATGCAGCGTGTACATCAGAATTATATCCACAAAGATTTTTATCCATCGTTAATGGGTCAGTGTAAATACACTCCAAGAAGTATTAAGGACGCATTAAGCCCGCCTTGGATGTTATTGCTATAAGCACCACCGTTTGATTTTGTGGGAATGAGATCACATTGCTCTGTTTACACCTGTGGCTTTTCAGTTTGCTGTTTGGATACAGTCCAGCTACAGTTTGTGTTTGGATTAGTGATTTAAAGCTGGGTGTAATTACGTAAGGAGGGCCCCTGCCCCACTTTGTTCCGCCTTGCTGTGTAAACCTCACTACAGTCTTCGCAAAACATGTGTCTTTGTAATATCTTGTCACGCAGACACACACGCAAAGACACACACACACACACACACACGCACACACTATCTCAAAAAATATTCTGCATTCAAGTCTCCTACATAACAGATGCGCACACAAACAGTCAACTTGACAAGGAGTCTCTTGCAAGAATATGATAAGGCACTGGCTCACACCCACGCTCGCTCTCACAACTACAGTCTTGTTGATTCTTTTCGCTGTTTGTGTTTGCAGCTTGCCAAGAAGCTCAGGATTTGGACAGACTCGCAGCACTGACACACCTACAGACACAGAGACCTGACGGACAGAGTCCAGCTGGCTAGTTATGGCTGCAGCGAGCGGAACAGATGTGCAAGGCACTTTGATCTAGGTGAGTACCAAATGGGGTGAGGATCTGGGGGAGGGAAGGGGGGGCCACTGGTCTGTACCAATATTGGGAAATTGAGAGTATACTGTGGATGGGTGGGTGGGTGGGTTGAAGGGGGGCTGGAAAGGTGGGTGTTCGAGTCAATTTCAGTCTGTGATACATTAACACATTACCATCACCACTTATGACTTAACGTGGTGTCTGCAGGTAGTGGGAGAGTTTTGAAAAATGTTTTAAGCCAGATATTGTAGAAACTCAAGGCCTGAGGTCCTATGAGCCCAAGGCTATTTCCAGGAGAATGTTACTACCTTTACCACTTTAAAGCTCTTTTCTTGGTCATTATAAAGTGTTGCAATCCATGTCGTACCTTGTTTTTTTCCACAAAAATCTTGTCTATCTAGATCAACCACTGACATAACAGGCAGATTTTTTATATCAGTCTTTATATCTGGGGATTTTTTTTTTATATGTATCTCATCATCAAAACCTTACAGTAGAGATATATCTTTGTAGTTGTGTCAAGGAGATCGCCTGGAAACTTCAACCTGACGGGCATAAATGTGAATATTTTCTACATTTAAGTGTTATATATACTGCTACACATACAATAGCCTACTTGCAGAGGTGAAAATTCAGGCTACCAATATCTCCCCAATGGCCACTTAGCCTTGAGCCCTCCAAAGTCTAGAATCGCAGGTACCTTCTTGCACACAGGTGACCTGCACCGAAGCGCAAATCCTTTATTTTGCGTTTATTTTGAATGTAAAGGTGGATGTAATGTCAGCTCCACGTCGGATGCAATGCAGACGCTTCAAAACCAGATTACTCTTTAGTATACAGCTAAATCACTCGTATCACTGGAAAGGGCATGTACAGTAGGTGAGCCTGTGGAGTAAACAATAGGTTTCACATTGTTTCTCATATACAAATATGAAACAAGCGTAATTACAAAGCTCTGGTTCCGCTGTTTCTTGTGATATGATATAAACATATCATTTCATAGATATTTACATATTTAACTATGAACATATCTACGCAATATCGTCCTCATGAGTAATTCAGACAAGAGTTATGGATGTTACAGCCCCATGCAGGCTGTGCTTCCATGTTATTATCGTTATAAATGACTTTTTCTTGCCCACATTTAGCTGCACAGACAAGCAGCTAACATGTTGGAAAGGTCAAATGGTGCAGTTTAATCTGAAAAGAGATGTGAAGTAAAGTGTCTTCAATGAGCTAAAACTAGAGCGGCAGCAATTAGTCAATTAATCAATTAGTTATCAACCAATAAATTATTCGTCAACTATTTTCATAATTAATTCAGCAGTTTGACTCATTTTTGTTTAATTGTCTAAATTCTATGATTCATCTTCTGAAAATGTGAATATTTTCTGGGTTTCTTTCTTCCTCTATGACAGTAAACTGAATAGCAGACATATCTAAAATCATGCTGGGCCTTTCACTTTACAAACAAACAAGAAAAACCAATTAGTTTATTGAGAAAATAGTGGACAGAATAATGGACAATAGAAGTACCTGTTAGTTCCTCCCTACTTCTAGCTTCTTAAGCACTGTAGTTTATCACTTCCATGTGTTCTATATTTTGTCAAACCAGGAACACAGATGAATAATAAATAGATTTACAGTTAGTTTAATTAACACATTTATTTAAACGTGTTAAGTCTCTTTGGTAATGTGCTTTAATAATATATATCAACAGTTTTTGCTGCTGTCTTTTTTTTTTTTTTTGCTGTGGACTTGATGTTGAAAAAAAATAACTTGGTAAGTTATAGTTTGTTCATTTGCTCTCAAGCAAACTACATTTTGTTTCGCTTTTTTTTTTTTTTTGCGAAACCAACATCTACAGTATTCTCAGATGGCTCGCTTTGAACCAAATTGTGGGTAAAAGGAAATGGATGGTCCAGAATGAGAAATAAGGTGGATGGTTTGAATAGAAAACACAAACCTTCAAAAAGAATGAAGGTGACAGAAGATCTAAAGGCCGCTAGTGAAGGAATACCAAGTAGCAAGAGAACAGAGCATGCAGCAGACACTTGATCATATAAATGGCAGTTGGGTAAGAAGTTTCAGGTAGCATTCAGCCGTCATTTAAAAGTGGAAATTGCACCCGGTTCTAATAAAAGACTAAAATGTGAGGAAAAAAAAGGAAGGAGATCAGATTTTTTAGAAGGGGAAATGAGGGCGGAGGCACAGAGGATGTGCTAACATGGGAGACAAAAAACAAAAAAAAAAACAATAAAATATATCCTTTAGGGGAAATTATGTGGGCCTGTGTGTTTCATGCCTCCCCTCAAAAACTTTTCCATGTTAATTAGGTAACGTAAAACTAGCAAGAACAGCAAGACAGCAAGAAAGCAAGAACAAAAGCTGGATGAAAAGACAGTGTAAAACAGCACACACTATCCAGTTCGAGGCTATAAGATACATATTTTTGTGTGTGCTGAGAGGAGAAAATAGTAAATGATAGATGCATTATTGATGTGGTGAATTAGCCTGCTGGTGTGTACGAGTCCGTCTGCTGTTTCACTGTTTCATCATAAGATTAACGAAGGCCAGACTCGAGTTACAGGAGTTTCGTGCCGATTTGTCCTCGGTTCACCCCTTCTGACAGTCCGAGTAAGAATCTGGTCTGGGATTTTGGTCTGAACTGATATTTGCCCCAGATTATTTGGTAATGTGAAAGGTTTACAGATCCAGTCTTACACTTCCCAAACAGTTTGAAGACTCATCAGGGCTGTCGAGATAATATCAACCATGTTTGATGTTTCGTAGTTAAAATGGGGATGGTTGCAATCATCACGCTTGAGCCTGGAGCAGCAGACTCTAGCCCTTGAGGCTAACGGTAGCTGCAGGTATTAAAACTAATTGTCAAGATCTCACCTCCAGTGTTTGCTGAAGAATAGACAACTCATGCTAACCACATCCTCCCAACCATTTTCTCATCCACACTTGTTTAACCATCCGCTTTGGCTTTTTGTCACTGCAAACTAATAGTAGTGTTCCAGCAGGTCTCCATTTTATTTACATCTGTTTCCCCAAGAGTAAATGGGAGGAGGCACACTGCTTCCTGATTGCTCCTTTGGGCTGGATATAAGTAAACATTTGTCCTGTGCTTATTTTGCTGTTTTAGTCAGTGGACACATGATTTGGGCTCCTACGGTGGCTCTGTTACAGAATCCACTGGGACATATGAACGCTGTCCTCGTCAATCACAGCTTGTCCTAAACACTTGAGTGCCAGTCTAAGGTCATCAAACTTTACTGAAGTGTTTGTCATGATGCCTGTTGCTGGCTAAATTCCCACAATGCTCTCTGCTTGCCAACACAGAACAAGGGACCACATAACCATGTAACATTAAGGATGCCGTTATTTTAAAAATCTTGTGCATGTCTGAGATTAGAAAATATCTCTTAAGGTTCTCTCTATGTGTCTAATACAACCAGATTTCTGAATATATTAAGACAAGAGAAATTCCACGACACTGTTCAAATTTGTTCCCACACATTTGGAGCGTGATTTTTACCTTCATATATTCAAAGTGAAACTAACATTTCACTTGGCAATGTCTTCTGACATCAGTGTTGCTGTGTAGCTCCATGAAAATTAAATCTCTGTGTAGGATTTGTTGAGAAATGCTGGGATATTTTAATCACCTCCTTTCTGTATTATCATACATGCAACAACAACAACAACAACAACATGAATATGATTTTGCAGATGTATCTGAAGCAGTGCCTCTGATATTGCGTTTCTTGGTTGCAACTTAATTTCCTGTTCTCTCATGAAACTCAGAATACTTTCAATATTGAAAATGAAGAAAACTATTGTGTGTGTTTTTGTATTTGTGCCTGACTAGATGTGTGTAACGTGTATACACGAGTGAAAGACAATCCTTGCTGACCCTGCAGTTACAGCCAATTTGCTGTGATCACAGTGACAAGTGTCTCCATATGGATACTTAGTAATTAGCTAAGAGGAGATGGAGAAAGGTTGGAGTTGGTGGGGCATTAGAGGACCTGTCAGAAGGCTCCACTCATCTTACCCCCCTAAAATCTGTCAGGAGGCTTGTCTGGGGCTCGTGCTCCCCAGTCCCCTCCCTCACACTTGGCTGCTTCAGTTAATTGAAGCCACTTCAGATCAGTCAAAGGAGCTGGATCTGCACGCCTGAGCAGACCACAGTGCTCACCTGACCTGTCACTCACTACTGCCAGCAGCTGCCTGCCACAGACATCTCAACACATCGTCGTCTTTCTCATTTACAAACCCAGGCCACAGCAGAGATCTGCCCAGTTTACACTTACCCTTCATCTAAGCCCGGTTACATTTCCATCACTTAAGATGTGTATTTGAACCCTTGTTCTTTTACTTTTTTCATTTAGACAGGTGAGAGAAGGGGGTTTTAAACTCAGGGGATTGCATTTAAAAAAAAAAAAAAAAAACATACCAAGAGGTCTGAAAAAATGGACTTATGAGGTATGAGGCAGTTTGTCAGGAGATAGACCGTTACCTACAAGATGTGACCCTGAAATGCAGTTTTACAGCTATAAGGAGACGAATGTTGTCATCTGATAGCCGGTACTTACTCATGCTTGAAAAGCCAAGCATAACAGAATGAACCAAGGGCAAACTTGCACTTAAGATGTGGTAAAATGCCTGTTCAATACATTTTTTTTTTTTTTTAACTCTGGAAGAGAACACAAGCAGCGTTAAAGCCTCACTGCAAACAAAAGAGCCAAGACCCACAAAGCTCAGGGAAAGTGACATGGACCGCAATTGGATTTGTTTTGAATAATTTGCCTCCCATATGTCTTTTGTTGATAAATTATAGCCGAACTGAAAAATTGTCTATGGTTATCATAAAGTAAGCATTGCATGAATGCAACAAAGGAAAACTTGTTTTCTGATTTGGACCAAAACAAGCTGACTAAGGTTTGTAAAGGCCATAAAAATGATACCCTCATTATTCCTACACAGAAATTCTC